CTGTCGTTCAGTGATTCGCAGTGCCCATTTTCGACTGCAGCCGCAATCTTTTCCAAATCCGGCTCATATCCCTTCCTTCTGCCCGGCACACCGAAATCAATTTGAAAAAAACAATGCGTCGGCGCTCCGACGGTCCGAACTTGCTGAATCGCGCATACGGTTTTTGGATTGCGAACACCTGCCAAGGTTCAATTCCGCGGTCCTGGGATTTGGCGCGCGTAGCATGCCTGCTGCTGCTTCTGGTTCTGCTACTGCTACTGCTACTGCTACTGCTACTACTACTACTACTACGACGACGACGACGACGAGGACGACTACGACTGCTACCACTGCCACGGCTAGCGGGGCCTGGCAAATTCGCCGGTGCTCGCCTCACCAAGGTGACCTGCCAAGGGCCGCTGACGAGAACCGGTACGATCCCTCAAACGACACACAGAAGTCTACATGTCATGCAACTTTCAAGCAGCATGAAGCGGTGCAGTGCAGGCTTCGTGGTCATGTTGGGGCCGGAACTTCATCTCATTCTCTACAGACAGGCAGTTTATGCCTGACGCGCTGTGGTGCAACCAATCGGTTTTTGGTGAAACGGTTTGAGTCCGATGATTCCCTTGTTTGAGCGATCGAACAGAAATCCCTCGACCCTAAGCCCTGGACCATGTGACAATGTCTGAGGAGTATCGGCCTCCACTCCGCAAGGAAGATCTCGGTGCAGCGCTGGCCTTTAACACACAAAGTACGCGTTCTTTGGTTTTGGCTGTTGTGCGATGTTGTGCCCCAGGCACTTGCGCTCCGGAGCTTGACTCCGTGCTTCTTACCACTTTTGCGGATGCAAAATGCTGACGGGCAATCTCGTGTTTGCAGACCTTTACGTGCTTCGCGGGCAATATTCACATGGTACTCGTGTGACCGACTGAGACGACGAATATGCACTTGGATTGACTGTTGCGTTCAACGAACTCATGCGAGCCAATGCAAGCCTCGTCACGTGTGCTCAACAAGCTCGCTAGCCGCTTGCATTTACCGCATCGAAAGCTTGCAATCGACGTGACTGACTGACCGACTGACTGACTGAGTGATTCATGTACGCATGCATTATCATGCATTCATGACACACATCCCATATTGAAATATCTGTATTGACACATATTTATATACTATATACATATACGTAGGTATGGGACATGTTTCATCTACGAGTAATTGAAGATGATGCAGGACGCACTACTACAGATTCTATTGCAATGAATACAGCTGCGTTACGCAGTGACCTCATCGGGACCCTAAACCCCGAAACCATTTCGCGAGGGCCTCGCCAAATCCCCCGAGGCACGGGCCGCTCGCCTCATCGGCCGGTAGTAGTCGGCGGACTGGCCTGGGAACGATCGGCTAACCGCCGGCTATACGGCTACAGGTACACACACACACACACACACTTTCTCTGTCTCTCTCTCTTGTTCTCAAACGACTCTAGCCTTTACTCCTCTGGACCGTGATGGCAAGCTAAACTGGATGCAAGGTACGGTGTCCCCGGATATTTCGAAGCGAACTTAACACGACAGTAACGGCTCCTCCTGCAGCATGGGCTGAGAAAAACTTGTATATTGAAAGAAGAGCTTCGCCTTTCGCTCGAAAATGTTTGGAATGAATGGTTGCAGTCGTGCTTTCTGTGCCATTTGCAGGGCACTGTTGTCATATAATGCCTTCTAAACAACATATTCTGCACATTCCAGAGGAAATGCTTCTTGTCGGGCAATTGACATGTTGCACGCTTGGATTGTTTCATCTTTAAGGATGTTGGGCCTTGACTGATGCCACGCCAAAGCTCCGAGGCAGAAGCTGTTGCTGCAATTTTTAAGACTGCGACCTGCTTTTTCAGGCCCCTGCCCAGGCACACAGAAGTGTTCTTAAGGACAGCAGGCGCATACTCAGAAGGAGTGCTGCACTGGGTTCGCTGACTGCTGCAGCCCGACATCCCGCCTGAGGATAACCATGGAGCGAGATTTGGCTGCGATTTCGCATCCAACTTCCCTGCACAAGTGCAGGTATCGAGCAGAGCAAAACTTCGTCGCCAAGCACAACTTAGTTGATGTTTAGCCATGAAGCCATGCCTTTGTCATTCTTCGCGAAGCCGATGGCGCCGGCGCTGGCGCCTCCTGAATTTTTCAAGTGAGACAGCTAGATGCTGGTATGCGCACAGTGTGAGAGCCTCCTTCAACAACTCGCTGCCCCAAATTCAGATTACGAGCCAACAAGGCGGCAGGGTCCACCTGACTTGCAGAACCCTCCCTACTTACAACTGCATCATCCGAATCTGATTCGCCTGCGTTCCTTGCCCACCCCAGCAGGCAGTGCCAGACCGACGTGGGGGGTAGGCTACACTTACGTGAAGTCGGCGGTATGTATCCATGAACGGCAGGAAATTTGCCTCTGCGGCAAAGGAATGCAGGGACAAACTGCTTCTGTTCAAGCTCGCGCTGCGCTTGGGCCGCATGGGCCGCGCCCTGCGTTCCTCGGCCAAGCTTACATTTAAAGAATGTTCATCACGCTTTCTACGTCTGCTTTTGCCTACATATCCAAAGCATATACAGACATACGCACACCTATTGAAACCGGGCACGGCAAGCGGCAGGGAACCAAGGACCAAAACCAAAGCACCTCCACATGCAAAGTAAAAGTAAGGGCAAGCGCCGGCGAGAGTGGAAGGGCTGCAGGGCACGCCATCACGAGCCGTGGCCTTTGAGCATCGAGGGAGCAGTTTAAGCATGTTTCACCAGCACTCCGCACCGCAGGCACACAAGGCCATGCATGCTTGAGAAGACCACTGTCGCACATGATTCTGCAAAGCATTGCTGAGAGTGGAACCGCTGTAAGAACGCGCGCAGTTGGAGCTCATGTGTTATGATTCATAGCGTGTGACTGCGCTCGGAGCAATAGGATTGACTCCAGGGTCTGGGGGCTGCTACGTGCTGTCACAATCTCTGCTATGGTGACCGAACTTGACGGGCATAAAACTTGACCATGGCTCATGCCTGTTTCCCAGCCGTATTGTTGTGTCGACATGTGTCTGTAGAGGCTGCAAGCCAACGGGACTTGTCTGAGTAGCGTGTGCAGTCCGCCAGACGATGTTGGAAACTCGCCTAATAACCTTGGGGATGGCAGCTCGTCTCAATAGTCGCACGCCTTCTTCGCCGCGGCGAAGCTGTCGTCCAAGCAAGGCTTAATGTGGCTGCTGTTATAGGCGCCAATGCCCAGGCCTGTCATCCATCAATCGCCATGACAGAGAATGACAGAGACATGGTTCATCGCTTATGTGACACGACGGGCATGCGGCGGGGCAGACAAGCACAAGGACAGGGGCAAAGACAAACGTGAAGGGGGCAGCAAGAGCCCAAATTTGAGATGTTGTCCAGACCCATGGCATCAGCCGAAACACTGAACTGATCTACCTGTTGTGCCCAACGCCCTTCTCGCGTCCGTCTGATGCTTCAAAGCTGGCCGGGATGCCTACAAAGCAATTGAAGAGGAAGTCCAACATCGTCCTGGCACAGGTACCAGATTCGCAGTGAGGATCAAAGTACAGATTCTTGCATCTGAATCAAGTCAACTCAATATACTTAAAACCTGCTTAAAGTCGCTATTTTCTTAGCCAGGGCATAATGTGGACAGGCTCTGATGAACGACTCAGTCAGCGAGTATGTCCTGAAACCGGTGTCCACCTATTCCATTCAGATAGAAGGAAACCATCCGAGCACAGCAAGTGCAGAATGTCATGAGGCAGCATTGTTCAGCATAAACTTAAGAGTCACATCGAGCAGAGTCGACATTCTACCCACGCGCTCCTCTGGGCGGCGGCACTACTATGCTACACCAGCTAAGATCTCGCTCGGTCTCGAAGCCGAAGCACGACGGACTGTCGATTTACGATCTAGTCGCAGTAGCACAGCCAGGCATGGTCTTGAAATTCTGTACTGCTCCGACTTTCTTGTTTCATTCGCCCACCAGGTACCAGGCAAGAGCTTTTCGCCGGCAGACACGCCACACTTCGTAGCATGAGGAAGTGTGGGAAAGCTAAATCGCGCTGATCCAGCTGCATGAATTCCAAGCCTGCCCCTCTAAGCAAGCAAAAACAGCTAGAATCAAGTGCACTTCAAGTGCCAAGCTCACCGGCTAACCGTCTGCCATGGTGAGTCTGATTGTCATCTGCTGCCGGGGCTGCAGACTGAAAGAAACACACACCAAAAGAAGAAGAGTCGGATGACTTGATATGGTCACAATGTGACTTTGACTGTTGCAGGTGGGCTGGCAGCTTTGTACAAGCGTTGGCGTGGGAAATCGCACTTGGAAGCCGTCGTAGAGAAACATGGATAAACATACACTGACACGCTTGACGCACTCAGCTAGGCTCAGCATGAGTTTCACTCTACTGCTTCCGGGCGCTACTACGGAAAGCGTCAGCCTCGAATGTGCTGAGTCCTCGATTTTGTCGGGGCCCATGCGAGGGCTATTTCCTTGGCATCTCTGCCCTAATTAACGAGGCATCCCCTGCCAGAAGCAGTGTCAGCTCGAGAGAACAGCGTGGGGAATTGGGGGTAGCGAAGCCTCCGAAGCCAGGCAGATGCTCCGTGCCTACACAGCGACCACTCTCAGGGCCAGGGCAAAACTACTGACCCTTAGAGAGACCGTGGGAAAACGCTGCATCCTGCAGACTCACCTTGCGCCGCAGCTCCGGATCCTGAATGATCCTGATGACAGTGCGTCTGCAAAAGTCGGTGGCAAGATGTGGCAACACAAGCAGATCTGATACAGTATCCCCCTGCTCCCAACGCTGCAAGACTGCTTTCACACATGCTGGTACATCGACAGACTCATCATGTCAATTGCCACGGACCCATGCGATGCACACACAAACGCACATACATGTGTATATATATATACATACATACATACATACATACATACATACATACATACATACATACACACACGCTCGCGCCTGGTGTCTACAACTTCTCCGAATGCAGCTCCAGTGCCACTTCATCTTCAATATTCTGGACGTCCCCTGCATGCGGCAAGGACCTGGTGCGTCCGCTCTGACAATGCCTGTTTCCCTTTATATATGTTAGCAGAGCCCGGGCTCTCGACACCTGTCTTTCTTCTTGCAATTGTTGGAGCACTTGCCATCTCGTCTGCTAATAGAGCAGCATCTAGCGGCTAGCGTAGACAGCACTGAGCAGCAGGTCGGTCAGCCGTCGATCATTCGGCTTCAGAACCCCGACCGAAGGTGCGAGAGCACCGTGAACACTTTTCCGCTACTTACAGCACGAGCCCTAGTCCTAGTCACTTCCAAAGTCGAGCGGTGCCTGTGGGTTGCGGCAGCTGGTGCCAGCCTCGGACTCGGAGATCAGAGACTTCCCACTAATGCCGCTACATGGGAGGCTGTGACGACACAGGTCGTGCCGCGAGACTTCGTGTACGGTTCAAGGCTTATACAGCCTGCTTGCAGCATTTGGGAAGGCCGTGTAGTGGCAACTTGCCAATCTTGCCATTTTCGAGCCATGTCCTGCACCACTCCTCACTGGTTTACAGTGGATCAGTCCTCCTGCACGGTCCGGGGCCATGGGGAGCCAGCTGTTTCCGCATAGCGAGACTGCAGGAGCTCTGAAGTCTTCGTATCAGTTCCAAGTAGTGGCCCCAACTGTGGATGGAAACAGCTTGTACGTGGACTTCCGTGCGCAGCAGGAACGCATCAGCACATATCACTCTGCAGCTTTCAAGACGAATGGAAAATTTTTGTGAATTTGCAACCTTCTACGAGCAATCTCCATGCTTTCGGCTTTCAGCCAGTGCCAGCCACCCGAGTCTTTTGAAATGAGTTTGATGAGAGAGGGATCTCGTGAACTCTGGATTGGCGAATATGTCCGAAGCTTCTGTCGCGGCGCCCAGGCTGTGTGCCGCAGTGAGCGATGAGAGCAGCGGAGGTGATGGAAAACACGACTCCACTACCCGGCCATCTCTTGGGCCTTTGGTTGCTCCGGCTCGGGGGCATGGTGCGGAATGAATTGGTCCGAAGTCCGAATCTGTGCGCATCGACAACGACTTTCCAGAAGCCTTCGCTTTGTGGCTATCTGGCAGTTCCAGGAAAGTCAGGCCGCACTCGCATGGTCGTAGCAGAACATTCCTCATGAGGTTGCCAGGTAAGACATTCACGCTTCTTCCGCCCTGACTTCCTGGTCCGCAAGCTGCCCTGACTTCAAAACCAAGTTCATGGAATGGCTTTGCAATTAAATATGGCTCCTTGTGAGCCTTGGGCGGGAGGCCGCATCCTTTTGCCGCGAGGCCCTGTGTATGAAAACCGGATCTGCTGCTTGTTAGAAGGTAAACACTTAAGCATCTAATGGCCCTCTTCAATTCGAAGGAGTTTTTTGAGCAGTGGCTGCCTCGCTGACAGAAGGGGTCTCAGGCAAACATCCGAGGCTGTACTGTTTGCTAAATCTGCGGGACCCCTGCCCAGACGTTGGATTGGATGCACTCTGACACTTCCGGGGCTGTCTGACCGTCCGATACGTGTTTGCACAGTTCCAGCCTTCATCCGCACGGCTTTTCATCCCGAAAGTGCCCGAAGCATGAGGATGCTCGACATCGGCACTACGAAGCCTCAACCCTCCAAGCATATTTTCAACACATGTCTCAGCCTTGAACACATGGGGAGGGTCAGGCAAGGGCTGACTCTCGTTTATGTGTCATCGACACAGATGAACCTATGCGTGGAAGGCAGCTGCGACGAAACAAGTTCAGACCGCACATCCGGTACACAAGTTAGTGCCATGTCACGCAGCGCTGCCAACTCAGCTGAACCTCTTGCCAAGTTAAATTGAGAGCACGAATTAAATCAAGCCTAGGCTCTGTAGGCCCAACCGACTTCAAGTGACTGCAAAATCTGCCTAGTACTTGCATGGGTAGTGCTGATTTGCACGGTCCTGTACGGTTGGTCCCAGCAGGACACAAATACCTTCTACGCATCTTTTGCTGAAGGCATCTGGCTCTGCGAAGTGTTGCAGTTGAAGCAGCCCTGTCAGGTGATAGCTCCTGTCAAGGTGCTGCAGGAGATTGCTACAAGTAATGAGGCACCAAAACATAATATATTACCCTCAGCTTTAGCTGTCCTTCGCGGTCTTCAGCGTCCGACAAATCGGGCCGGAGGCTTTAGCCTCCTGACGGGACGCCACACTGATGACTCGCTCTTGTAGTTGAAGTCCCTTCGATCCCTATCCTTGTGGCGGGAGGGAACTCTTGCCGAACTCCGGCTTTGAAGATGATTGGCTTGTACTCATCTGGGACAGACCTCGAGTCAGTGTCAATCACTGTGTCTACTTTCGGAACTTTATGCCGGTTAATCACGCGGCCATTCTGCGCCGACGAACCACAACAGCAGTATCAAGACATGACATATTTTGTAATAGACTGGTAGTACCTGTTAGTGTCCTTAAACTCAGCCCAGCACCGGTGCATCACCGGGCTGTTGCGGTAGCGAGCCACATGGGCATCGAAACCTTGGTGCGGCCCGCTCCAGCTGACTTGGCAAACCTTCAGGGGACATGTGGATCACGCCTCTTGAATGTTGGAGCTTTCAGGGACCTTTGGGCATCTGTACTTTGTACCCGTTTCTGTATGTCTGGATGTATGCATGCCTACTCATGCCTGCATGATGGAGCCAAAAACCGCGAGGATTTGGTTGGCTTGTACTGCGTGCTTTTCCTCTTGCTGGAGCAAAGACTCAGAAAGACGCTTCGCAAAAATGATGCCTTGGAGGTGGGGAGGCTCCACTTGGAGTAACCCTGGAAGACCCGCCGGAATGCAGCCACGTCAGCCTTGGTCGAGTGGCTCTTTCGGCTGCCCTGGCCTGCAGGATCCTAGGACCTCTAGGACTTGGCTCACGGCTTCGGATTTCTCTGTGCTTGCGTGTGCGGCCCACAAAACTTCCTGCGCAGTAGCCCTAAAGCAGTATAGAAGCCGAGCATCGGGATGGACCAGATTAACGAATGCGTAGCCCAGGTTGGCATTCCGCCCAAAGTCGAAAGGCAAGTACACAAAGTCATATCTGGTCTCAAAGCCTCGTTGTGACTACGGAATCGAAGAGAAAGACAAAACATACAAAACCAGACCAAAGCTCAAGCGAACACAGCTTCGTCTGAAGCATGGATGCACTTCCATCTTTCTGCAGCTTAGTGCCCTACACTGCGTATAAGTCTTGCGCGAGCACGCTACTCACTACGCACAACGCTCGGCGAGCTTCCGTTCTGATCCAGCATCTCCAGGAACATCTCCCTGACAGAGACAGAGGACAGACCCGCGAGCCGACCGAGAGGAACGCGTCGAGCGGCTCGAGCGCGGCCCGAGGCCCCCGGCAGATGCGGTCAGGGCTTACGAGGTTAATGCAAAATCTTCTTTTTTGAGGCGTTGCTCAGGCTCAGGTTGCAGATGCTTCCAATCAGAACCGCAGCTGCACGATCCCTTCCGGCACGGGGCCTCGTATAATTGTTCGGCAAGTTTCGCAACATGACCGTCGTTCGATCGTCCTGGGCTGAGCTCTGACGCTGCATGTAGGCTTCGTAAGAGCCCGAGTGCTGCTCACGAGCAATGCAGCTTGATGCAGATGAAATGCATCATCTGACCGCTCGTCCTCGCTCCTGGAAGCCACTACACATTCTTGGAAAGAAGCGAAGGTATTCAACCTGCGTTCCTGCTCCCGACGGCAAGAGCTCCTCAAATCTGATTTTTAAGGCTCAAAGCACAGACTTGGAAAGAATCTAGGCGGTCCCGGAATACTCGAAAAGGCAAACATCAACAACAGATCTTTTCTTTCGGACTTCGATCAAGGGAAGGGGGGTACGGGGAGTAACAGGAACCCGCTTGGGGAGTAACGGAAACCATTTTTGGGGGTCGTAACGGGAACGAGGCTAGTAGAAACAGGAACCGCACCAAGAGCATAACAGGAACAGTCCCACGAAAAACAAGCCACCGAAACTATGCTGGAACTGTTGTGTTGGGGACCGGTTTTCGGTCCCCTACTTTGACACCATGAAAGCCATATGATGACGCCTATGTTTCGTTCGAGGCATATAGAGATTGGGGTTGAAATAGCTTCACGGTTTGGGATAGAGGATGCCAGTGGCAATACAGTCCTTGTCTCGGAAGCCACAAGTTGCTTCTGCATATTGTTGTCAAAGGAATATGAACGTTTTATTACACATTTTGCCTTACAAGAAGGACCGTGCTAATGCAGGCCGAAGATGTCGTACTGCGAGTACTACTACGATTGGTGGCGGGGCTAGGCTTTTGTACGCCATCGTGGACTGACCAGCGCCAGCTTGGCTTATTTTCTGGGTTGAAGGTTTAGGCTTCGGGTTTTAAGACTTTGCGGCTGTACAGGTATTTTTAGGGGTTCAGGGGTTCAGTGCTTTAGGGTTTAAGGGTTGACGGGTCAGGTTCAAGGGTTCAGGCATTTGCCAGTCGAGAACGGCTTTAATCGTTCGAGAACGGCGCCTCAAACGCTCGAGAAAGCTTTGGAGGTTTGGGGTTTCGGCCAGCTTTTAGCACCAGAAGTAGGACGAAGAAAGAAATGACGAGACTACACACAGGAGCCTTCATCACACGATCGCGCAAACAAGTCACGAAATTTGCAGTTTCACTCGGACCAGACACATGCAATGATAGTCTGGAGCGTTAATGCCAACACCGATGCTGTAGCAATCGGGAGTTCAAGACAAAGGTTGCTGTTGACATATAAGGTCAGTTTCTAGTGCTACACCGGTTCCTGTTACGGGGGGCGGGTTGGGGGGGTGTTACAGGAACTGGTGGTTGCTGTTACGGGATCGGTTCCCGTTCCTGTTACAGGTTCCCGTTAAGCACATCCTGTTCCCGTTACGGCAAACACTCAAGGGAAGGGACCTATGCCGTGCCCGTACTTAGAAGACGATCCCTTAAACGTGGGATAGTGGTAAGGATCCGGGAACCGCTCAGTGCTGCTATACAGTTGCCTGCACACTGTGACTGCCGGGGCCACGCCTGGAGAAAACCTCGACGCACTGCGCGACCTTCCAAATGATCACATCATTGTACATTCAACAGAGGCTCGGATTTGAGAACTGGCCGTCCAGCCCTCGCATGTTCGGATTGAAAAGCTTCGAGCAATCCCTGGCGTCCTTAACAATCTTATTGGATTCGCCAACGAAGCTTCAGGGCTTCCGGGCGACATGAGAACAAGGAAACGCCATAATTTCAGAAGCCAGGCTACGCTTGCTTGGGGAAGCCCGGGCCTAACAATCTGCCACTCAGCTCGCAAAGTTGACCGTGCCTCTGCGACCTCTGCCTTGGACGTCTCCCCCAT